GCTTTGCTCCACTATGTACTGATTGTTAGGAGGAGCATTCGGAATTTATTCTTACTTTCTGTCAATGAACAACCAAGAAATTCCTGATCCACCTGAGAAAAATTCAGGCAATTCCTAGATTTTCCAGATCCAAGAATTGTATATTCTTGCACCTTATCGAAGACCTCACTGAAGTTTACATAGAAAACAAGCACTAATTTTCCATTATCTAGGGCCTCTGTCCATCTCTCTTACTATAAGGTGTGTTTTGTAAGATAATCGTTTCCCGAGACCAAGTTGCTCGCTGTCTAATATGTTGTTGTTTTCCAAGAATGTCATTACAGTTCTTTTAATTATTCTCCCCAGTATTGTAACTATTACACTGGTGGAGCTGCCAGGTCTGTAGTTTGACAGTTGTCTTGTTCCTATTTTATGTATTGTAGTGACAACCGCATGCTTCCAGTTCATCGGTAACTGACCTAGGCCAACTGACACGTTGAATGTCGTAGTCATTTGGGCAGTAATATATTGTGCGACATTTCTCCAAATGTTGAAGTGTTGTTCATCCGGCCCTGTCGATTTTTCCTTGTCTAAAGTATTAGGGATCTTTGGTATGTCGTCTCGATTAAAGCTCACACTGAGCATCTGAATTTTTGGCTTTGCAACTGGGTCTATTCCCTCGTCTACAAGTGGCTCTTGAGTGAAGACTATCCTAAATAGTCTGCCATGACCTCTGCTTTGTTCTGGTATTCCTCTCGCATTTGATATCCATTCTTTTCCTCGATTAAATTGAAAATCCAGTAATGCGCTCTTGTTCAGTAATTAATGTACGGGAATATTCGCTTCAGCCGCTTGATTACAGATTGGCCTGTTTCTTTTCATATTTATTTTCTTATACACTTATTTTGTGCTGTTGCATTCCATCGTATTTTCTGCGACAAGGCTGATGTCAACGAGTCAACATTTCTTTTTGTCTTCAAAAACATCGAATATCACAGTTTATCCAAGGATGACCGTGCATTTTCTTCCATGGGACAGTCCAGGTTATAAATGGATGGGTTACTTGATTCCTTAACTACCGCTAAGGAGTCCATGCCGCTTCCACTGACGTACCTAGGTCAATTTTCCAGTTTTTGGCCGAGGCTGCGGTGTGGATCAACTTCATGTCTGCCTTGTATGTGTAAGGACGAGCCAGCGTAACCGCTTGGTAGACTATATTAGCCTTGAATTTGATTTAGATGACTGTATGATCACTCCTTCCAGTATGTGGAACGAAATTGTACTGATTATCCAAGACAGACGAATTTTGAAAGTCATATCTGGTAGGATCTTCAATATTCTGCAATGAAGCTACAGCGATTTTAGTTATTGAAAACTTGTTATCAAATGATATCATAAATGACCGGGCTTCTAAGCTTCCCCGGTTTATAGAAAATTCAGTAACGTCACCTGCTATAAGGCTTTTATACCTGCTTTACTAGGATTTAAGTTTATTTAGGTGGATGTCATTCGCTACACATTTTCCCTGGTCGTATATTATAACTAACTCAAGGACTTTCGCCTTACATTTCGACCGTCAGCGCATCAGTCCACATGTTGCTGAGTCTCATGTTACTGATTCGACAGCTCGTAGCGCCAAGGTGCTTTTCATGTACAGCACAACCTCATCACCCTTACGGTTTAGTCTGTCAGCCCTACAAAGTAAGAGACCGAGCAACTGAATTTCGCCACCGTACACTTTTGACATGAACAGTGTTACAGAGATGGTAATGTTAAGAATTTTCTGAGTCCAAAACGTTTTGGAACTGCAAGCATTTGTGCAGCATAACTTTAATTCCGAGAAAAAATTTCACGTACCATCCAAAGTAGTCTAAATATCGTTTTGTTCCAGAGTTTATAAACGTGAAAACTTTATAATTATATGGTATTTTTACTGTTCGGGCAGCGCTCTCTTATTTCTACTTCTGTCGATTGCCTCTCAATGAGTTCAAGAAGTCTGATATCCTCACAGACAGTCAGTTTGTGTGAATTTTCGTGTACAGAGTGTCTTACTTCAGCAGAAGCAACGGTAACTATGGCATTGAGGCTTTCATGAGTATCTTCAGAATCCACTTTGTCTAAGGGTCATGAATACTTACTTCTGCTATTATTACTGGAAGTAGCCTGCCTATTAAGGATTTAAAATGTCTTAGATTGTGTTGATTCTTTTTAGGAGGACTCTTTTAACTTGTGAAAAATGACTAGATTTTCAATGAAATCCATTCGACAAATCGCGAGGATTTGTTTGACAAATGCGTTAGATCCCTGCAGTCAGAGTTGGATTCGGTGGTGCAAGTCTTACTCTTTTCCTAAAGTTTATAAGCACTAATCCAGTGGTATTGGTTTCTAACCACACGATCCTCGAAGCTGAACATATAATTACTTATAACATTTATACTCAAAATGTGACACTTAAAGAAAGTCGAATATGATGAACGTCGCAACGACAATCCATATGGAATGGCTCGGCTATACAGACGTGGTAACTCAATGTAGCCTCTTGCTTTTTATATTGAATGCATCACTCTTTTCAGCCCAAACATGTTCTTCAGTAATGCTAGACCTCACATTTCTGATTGTCGCAATGGGAACAGTCATTGGGGAATATGATGTGACATCCACGTAAAATCTTGTAGATCAGCTAGTCACATCATGATTAATCTACAATTTTGTGATGGGGTCTATTATTATGGCGGTAGATCACCAACGTAGATTATTTGTGTTAAATGGCTTGGGTTTAACGGAGCTAGACGGAGATGTTTTGACCAATCAGAGAAAGTCGAAGTCACACCTCGCGGTTGGTACCTTAGTTGGGTTATTCCTTCGTTGCATCGAGGTAGTGTGGCAGCCTTGATGACGGAAAAACACAAATGGCGTTATTAATGAGACATATCAGTAAGAGTACGTACAAGGAACAAAGTGCTACCATCACCGCGTGAAACAGTAAATGATGTGCAATTGACTGGTGCGCGTTTGTGGCTTGGTTTGGGCTCAGTGACACTTCGCTGGTCCTATATAGTAACAAAGACAAATGTACCACTGCCAAACTAGACAATAATTGTACACTACTTTAAGCCAATCATTGACCTATATTTTTTTATTCATCAAATCATCCACAACGTCCAGGCTTTACTCCTGCATTACGTTGACATAAGATTCTGCAGATAAAATAGCCAATCCATATATTTTAGAGCTCTCTGCATCTTGTTTCTTCATAGAATAATTTTTTTCTTTGTAGCCATGCCCACCTCTGTGTATTTTTCATTCGTCACATTACTGACGTTCACTTTGATAGTCTCTTCAAAGTATAAAGCTGGACTCATGACGACGGTGTTTGCTTTATCAAACTCTAACAGCTGCTAATTTAACGCTGGCTGTTTACCTGAGGGCATCTTTTCGATTATGTTGAGCAGCTCAGTCGCTTCAAGAATCAGCGAAATCTTTGTAGAACTGCTTGCAACACCTTTTATTTACAGTGTGCGAAATTGTGTTTATTCAATCCAATTATACTTTATTCAATCAAATCAACTTATACGAACTAATAACCTTCACAAATCATAACAACTGTTGAACATGAGAAATAGAACATAAATAAATATCGAGGATTATTAATATTGCTAATGGAGACAAACCTTGGCATATTCCACTGTCAAGTTTTTAAAAATGAAGCACAGACATCGGGAACGGATGTTTATTACTCTAGACACTTTGTTTTGATATAATTTATGATGCATCATGATGTATAGGTCTAAGAACCCAACCTATACTCAATGCTATTCAAGTACTACATTTGACCAAATCTGGAAGCCCACATCAATGTTACATAACCTTTCGTCGGAAAGAATATAAATCTCTTAGAATGAGCACATTGTTCAATGTGTGATAGAACAGAAATACAGATCATGTGATGGAAAGCTGTTTCATTAAAGATTCTTGTTATAGGGTAGTAATGAATAAGAGGTAACTTTTAAGTAATACAGTATACTAGGTACAGTAATCTATTCCATCAAAAACAACATACCTGGACTCTGCCACTTCTTCCCACAAGACTGTTTCCCAAAAACTATACACTATAGAATGTAAACCCTGATATATTCAAAATTTTTCATATTACTAATCGTCCGTACCTAGAATGGTCTTCCTGGTGTGTGTAGAAATCAAAAGAAGAATAAACTGAACATGTTGTTGACGATAGTTGATTGCTCTCTTTGGAATACTAGTCAACTGTGAGCACTTACAAGGAAGTTCTCAATGAACTTATGAACAGGCCAATAAATCAAATTATAATTTATCATCATAATTGATTAGCATTATTGTCAATCCATATGCAACCGTAACTTCAATTAAACGTGTTCTTATGATTTTTTCAAAGTCGTCTGATTATTTATTTTCCTTTTTTTTCCAGACAATTGACAAATTTATATGTTCATTTTTTACCTTCGCCTCCGTCTTCACCCTATTAGTTTCGAATCAAATTCCATACATAATTTAACAAGTCGACTGTCGCACAAAGCGATAAATGAGAGCTCTGAAAATAATGCTGCTGGGAAACGGATTGATTCACTTCGATGAGAGGTAAACCAACCCACCTGGAACTGTATTTAAAAAGCATGAAGAGAGTATAAAATGAAGTAGTTTTCACTGACTCGGGACGGAAATAGATAGCTGGAATATCTTCTTCTCTTCACGAGTTGTAATATTCTGAAATTTGCCGTCGAGTGAAGTTATCAAAGTAACGTTCAAAAAGTTCTTCCAGCGAAAACTTAATATATCATCAGGTACTCATGACAGTATTTCACATTAATTTACTAATATTTCTCTTGTTATCGTCAGGTATGACTAAACTACCACCTAGGGGCATCGATAGTCTATTGTTATTATATACGGCAACATGTTAAGTGAAAGATTCTTCTTTGCAGTACACAACGATTTAAACCGATTGATACCGTTTGATGACATTGTTTGTTGGATGACCTTCAATCATTCAAACCCTTGCGGAATAAGGATGAATATGTTAAGGCATTATGCCTAGCCCTAAAGATTGGGATAACTTTGAAATTTTCACACATTTATGCATGTTTAATTATATAAGTTCACTCATAAATGTCACAAGCTTATGGATATGGCATGCGTTCCTCTGTTCAATAAACAGCAGTGTTATAACTTTGATGTTTTGGTTAAGCTGCACAGTTTGACAGCTGTTCCTTACGTTAACTCAGTCACTTTCGCAAAGCTTCGGCTTTTGAACAGTCGAAGTTCTGCTCAATACTCTCCCAGGTTGGTTTATACTTGTAATTAACTGTTCAGAACTGAAATCCGAAATAATATTGTGACTTGGAACAGTGAACATCGTTTCCATTGCAAATTCAAAAGCAATGCTGAGACAACTATATTAGATCCAAACATTTTAAAGGTGTCTATCCGCATGGTAAATTTCTATTTGTATAAATTTCATAAACTGGAGTTTGGATTTAATTTTCGTTGACGAGTAGATTTGATGACCTGCTATTTAAACCCTATTAAAACTAAGAAAAAACTAGCCTTTCCTAATAGAGTTTGCACTTCTGCGGTACAGAGGTTCTTGGCTGTTTATAGTATATGTATTAGACTTTTTCACATAGCTTGAGTGGTTTTCTTGTTGGCTTTTAAGCTAATTTCAAATTTAAGGACAGGTAACTTAGTAACTTATGCTAGGCTTCACAATTTTAGCTGCCGAATTCGCAGCGCATTCACTGCATATGCAAAACAAGGTTTTTGCTTTCATATTCGTTGTGTTTAATATTTACAACACTTCATCATTCAGGTTACAAAAGTCTACGAACTGCCTACAAGATCCAAAATCTTTTTAGAGTTTGCCTTGTATTTAACCACCATTATCAGTCTAAAACACTATAGCGATACTTTTATAGGACTTCAGCCTCGTCAATGTCTTCACTGTCTAGTACCAATGGATCTTTGATAAAAAAGACGCAGAATTCTGTCACTGTCTCGGTTTCTTTACGTGGGAAAATAAAATATTGGGACTAGTCTTCAAACAAATTAGTATAAGTTAAAGTTCGCCAAATATGCTTTCGTTTCGAATGTTAACCAGTTTGATACATAATTAAGTGGGTTCGAAACACATCATGCAATTTGTTTAGATTGTTTCCTTAGTTTAATGGTTCACGTACGTTATATTCGACATGTGTTTTTTTACAGTTGAGGTTTAAGCCGCCATATAGTATCACTAGCCATGCAGTGGTCATGATTCATCCCACCGATGTAATCGTTTACTATGTTTTGTGCTTATCATATATTCAAAGGATCAATTTCAACCTTAAATTCGGTCCCTATTTAGCTTAAGGACTCACGCAGCTAAGTTCTAGTAGTTGATGGCACTCTGGAGCATATACAGTGTTTAAGAATTTACAGTCAAATGGTTATTTCAAATTGGATTTCACATAAGACAATGAAAGAATTAGTTTAAGACTTATACTTTTACTGTCAAATCAGCGTTCCGTGTTGTCTTGATGAAATAAGCTCACATCTTGGTTCAAACCAGACATTATCTTCACAATCAACATTTTGCTAAATTTGCCAGTATACCTACTTCAATTCACATAATCTCTTGTGCATAAAAGAGTAGAATTGTGAACTATTATGGTGATCATCTTCCGAAGCCCACTGCGGAAATATGTATGTAGCTACTGAGTTAAATGTCTCGTTTTCTGAGTAGTCGGCAACGTATCTGTTCGCATGGCTAAACCATTTGCTGAAAGGGATATTAGTTTTAAGCTATCATACGCATAAATATAATAAGATCATCTAATTTTTTCATCACACTTAACATTAATATAACTTATCTTACGTTTTCTCGTAGGAAACAAAAGGTGGAAAATCATTTCATAAAGTTGGTTTTGTCAGTATCAACTTATCATCTTTCGCTGCTGTTGGAAATGTAATTAATCGTCGTAGATATATTTTAGAAGGTTACGATGAGAAACGTAAACGTCAGGACAATTCTCTTTTATCAATTTCATTCTGTCTGCGACAATTGACTGGAGACAATTGTTTTCGAACGTAAGTTCATAAATGATCTCACCTGTGGTTCACAGTCTTACTGTTCTTTCCATCTTCCATATATTTTAGGTTGTTTCCGTGACGCCTGTCTAAAGTAAATAGGATTTTCGTTTATTTTAGAATTATTCCTGATGTTAAGTTTTTGTTAAAAGTTAGCTTTGTTTCAGTTAGGTTTCATACTTATACACTTGTGTGAACTTAATGGAAATTGGTGCTTCTTCTGAATAATATTCACTTCCTTCAACGCTTTAGTCAAAGTTATGTACTAGTTACCTATTAATCGTTTCCGTAATTTTGCCAACATATATATCGAACGTTTCAGTCTGTAGTTCAGCATACCAAACGAAGATAATACTACTATCTTAGGTCTGTGAAGTCGATTTAATCTTGAAATATAATGTCGAAATTGCTTAAGAAACATATTTTAAAGGTTCCAAATAGGGAAGCAACCTCGTAAGTAATTTGTTAAGACACTAGATATTTCCAATATTAATGCATCATAGAAGCTAGACGTATTCTTTTTTAAGTAGGTCCTCATCTCGGCTTCACAGCGATTTGTTAGTTTAACAGCTAAACATAAATCATTATTAGTCATTTGGTTGAGAATTAGCTGACAACGTATATAAATCTAGTTCCGTCTGCAAAAATTACAATGGGTTCGAAAGTACTTGATTTAAGTTTTCTGAATGAATGCTGGAGTGATAAAGTTTGAGGTCACTCAGTCATTATGAAACAAGTCACCTACAGACACGATCAGAATAATAAATGAGACTAGATCCGTAAGTTACGCTTGTTTATGCCGATTCCTATGATTTCTTCTATGTTCAAAGGGCAAAATTTGGAAGCATAATAAATGTTGGATGAGACGTAATATACAACTGTGAAAGCCATCTTAAAATCACTGTTACATTTGTTGTTTACTACATATACCGGGATGGAGTTACTATCAACTATTTCTCATCCGGACATCAAATGAGGCAGTGAGCTTGCCTAATCGTATATTCAATATAAATGGCTCCACAAGTGCAGATAAACTGATAACTATGCATAGTAGTACCGATGCAAGGGATGCTATCGTTATTTAACGAAGTCTTTATTGGTTGCCCGTAAATCGTCGAGTATAACCCTGATTCATTGAGAATTGCACTCTATGCATCCTTTAGACGCGTTGTGATTTCTCCGGCTGTCATCTTTAATCTTTACTTTTAGGAACAACAGTTTTAAGGATAGTCGTTATATATATATATATATATATATATATATATATATATATATATATATATATATATATCACGGTCTGATTCTCATTTCCGGATGAATAAATCTTGTATACATAGACAATGCTCTCTTAAATTATGTTCACACATTTTTCCTTATTTCTGAACTATGTACGAGCAAGTTTCTCTTACCATGTCTCACCGTTAAATTTATGGTATAAAGTCCATACAAATATTTTGTTAGTCTTGATAAGTAAGCACGATATAACTTACTATTAGTACTATTGGTATACTGATAGAAAACAGTTGATTAGTGTTTCTTGAGTGTTAATCTTCCTATCTCTCTGTTTAATTTTGGTGAGATTTTCCGCCGTTTTCAACTTCTTTCTTTCTATGATAATAACGTGAACAGTCAAATGCTATAGTAACTAGCCCTTTTTTTGAAGGAATCACATAGATATTTCAGAGAGCTTTTTATCAAATTTACGTTTATATAGTATTTTCCATGAAAATTATGCAAACATGCATCTTCACAATACTACAGTACTTCATAATTGAGTTCACCTTAAAACTTTTCCCAAAACCGCGTTAAGCTTGTACAAACTAGGCATCTTTGAACATTTTTAAAAGGTTTTATTTTTTGAACAAATGGCTAAATTCAATTTCATTTGTCCACATACTCTGTAATTGGACTATTTCATTCCTACTTTATTTTCCAGTAAAAAACTTGTATGAAATCTTTACGTAGTAAGTTAGGTTATTGATGATAGTAGCATTGAGGAAGGACATTTTGCTTAGCTTGATGCTCATCAGCAGGGTATATGTACATCTCCATTGCCAATACTCGTGCTAGGACTCGAATCCAGTATCTTTCTCTTTAATCTTTACTCATCCACTCTCCTATATGTATCTACTAGCTTGTCCAACAAGTCATGAGGTTATGATATATATGTAAGGGTTTGCATCTTCCTGTTGTTGATATTAAGGACAGTTTTTGGTCATTAAGTCGGAATATGTATATTTCGTAAGGATTGGCTCGAAATCGCCTTTAAGTACAAGTTGAATTGTGTCTATCAATTAAATCCAGAATTTAAGTAGAATTCAGGCAATATCGGTATGCACATTTTGCAAGTAAAGACTGATTAGATGCACCCATATATATATATATATATATATAATTGGTATATAAAGCTAATAGCGGTCCTAATAAATAATTCATTTTGATATTAGTATTGTTTTCTTGCATCATAATAGTTAATCACTAGTTAAGAAGTTGAATTCATTTTTTTCATTTTCTACATACTTGTTGTTATAATTAATAATAAAAGTGCATAAATGTTGTTTACTGTACTAAAGCAATTTACGTAATAGAATGTTCTCTAGGCAAACTGTATTATTTTAGTTACTAAGATGTGATCAGATGTCTAACGGCCTTGAATTGAACTTGGAGGTTACAAGATTTAAGTTTAGTCTTAATAATAGAATTGAGTTTCCGGTAAAAAGATTTTAGTTTATAACATCAAGATATTTTATCAAGGTCGCTCCTTAGTATCCATAATGATTACTTGTTCCAAATTTGTTTGTGTTATTTTAACGAGAAGAAATTGTTATTAGTCACTGTTGATGAAAGTAGAAGTTAATTAGGAAGTAAAAGATATTCTTACTTTTATTTATATTCACACTGTACCTGTGCTGACAAAATTGGTTTAACTTGTAGAATAATCACCACATTTTACTGAGAATCTTTAAAATACGTCGATTGTCCTATTACTTATTGTTTTATTTTTACTTCTATTCTAAAGTATTTAGTTTTGCGTCCATACATTGCAGATTATTGATAATATTGTGTCATTTTATTTTAAATCGGGTATTATTGACAATGTTTTCCGTATCAGAGCGTTGTTTAGGTTTGGAGATAAAGCTGTTGTGTTTCCGAAGTTATGCAATTCTTTGAGGTTTTTGTACTACTTTTAATCAAGGAATAAACGTTTCTTACAAATCAAGAGTATTTTGATAGAAATGTAATGAAAACTAAATGAATTTAATTATTTCACGAACCCATTTAATTTTCAAAATTTATAATAGGTTTCTACGCTTTAATATGAGGGAAATTTCGCTACAGCTACCCATTTGTCAGAATGATAACAAGCTTTTGTATCTTTTATGAAGCCGTGATTAGTTATAAAAATCAATTCTCATTGCCTTCACAATATTTGTTTTTTCCCTTAAAATTCAACGAAACTCTGTTATGTGATGTCAAATATAAAAATCGTGATCTCTTTTTGCATTCATACACCACCACACATATTACTCATTGAATCACTTACTGGATAATTTGTCTAATAAAGAACAAATATTTATCGATTATTTCCTTTGTACTATTTCAATTTGTGTTAATTTAGTTTCGGTTATTTATTTACTCTAAAGAATTGACTTGTATTAAGTCACGAAACATCAGAAATATAATTTTTTTACTCACTGGGATATTACAAAATATATATTTATTATTAACTTTCTACCCGTTCCTCAATTTATTGAAAACTATCAAGTCCAACCTTGGCATTGATACTTATTTATCGACTTGTTTGTTCTATAAAATATGCATCAGGATAAATTTGGAATCATTGTTTTTCTTCTACTTGTCATTTTTACAGTGTACCGATACAAAAAAATTTTCTCCCAACAATTCTAAGTAGTCTATGTACCATAAAAATGTATTTTCTATAAAGCGTTTCATATAATGTAGAATAGTTGATTGTTACTTTCTGAATTTCACAGAAAAATAACCGAAATTCATATTCTTGATGGTGGTTAGTTCGATAATATAATATGACTGTACCAATTTTAATTTGTATAGTTTAATAATTCACCTATTCGCCATAAACTATACGATGTGTGTAATCCTACAATTGTAAATAATTTAAGATTTATTGTTGCGAGTTCATAGCACATATTTTAAGGTTTTTAAATGAATTATCAATCGTCACAGAATGACCTAAGTTAGGATACCATTGAAAACGATGAATCACCGAATATCTTTTTCATCCTAGTATCAAACTCACTAGTGTACATCTACAACCTCATCAAAGATCTAACAGAAGACAATCAGGTCTTGCTGTGAGTATCCAATAATAAGGCAGCTAGTTTGTTACCAAAACTGAGATCACAATGTGAAGCAAAGATCATCACCTACAAATCAAAACATTCTTTACTGAACTCGTCTACTTTTCAGTTCGTTCACTTGAAGAAAATCATCTTGCTATCCACTATTTGTTTTGGTTTTTTTAGTTTCTACCAAAAGATTGATATTTCAATTGTGAAAAAAACCAACTTGTGACACAGTACATTCTGACTATTTAAAAGAAATTAACTTTTTAAAAGTTACAACTTGACAATAAAGTACATAAAACTAAACTTGTATACATACATAAAAGTTGGTTACAATTGACATAAAAATGACAAACACGACTAGAGCTGTTCACATTAATCCTTATCAAACATTTCATGTGTTAGTTAACTAGAGACAATGTTTCAGTGCTAAAAATCAATTTTTATTGAAATGCTTAATGTTCAACGGTATTCCTGTAGTTATTTAAATAATGGTAAAAGTTAGATTAATATTGATTAGTTTCCTAATGTATTTCATATCTATCATAAATTGAAACACATCTGTTCTTAATACTATTGTGTTTTAATGAAAATATTTTTGTATGTTTGTGTATGCTTACTGCCGGTCACAAGCTCGGATAAATGAGGAGGGTTGGAAATTGGGTCAGCAACCCC